CTTGCATGACTGACTTGGGGTGACACCAGGCAACCTTTACTAGCTACAGATTTCATTATAGACAGCCAGTGTAAGAAGAAAAATGGGTAACTGTGCTAATAAACAGAAATCAGAGAAAGACTTTCCTGAAGGGTGTTTATTAGCGTGTGACTTTATGAGAGAAGTTTACAGACCTCAGTGTGTGTTCCCCCTTCCTTTCATCTATCAGTGGACTCAGAAAGGGCTGAATCCCTGAAGGTATGTTTATTTTAGCAGCTTTAAATAAGCTAGAAAAAGAATGCAAATGACAAAATAGATGAAAACAACTTGCAGCCTATAATTACATTATGGAAGACTGTCAGCCAAGAAAACGCAAATGTCCCTATATATCGAGTCCCTACAGGGATTTATTATCATATGCCTATAGATGACAGAACAGATGACAAAAAAAAAACAAGGCCACCTCCTTATGCCGCAGTTATACCTGCAGACCAAACCAACACAACAGGCAAAGCCAGCTGCATAACATGCCCCAGCACAACCACAGCTACAAGACCATAGTGAAGGGACAGCTGTAACAGACAATAAAGAAATACCTAAACATTACCCAAATGTGGAAGACATGTTGAAAACCAGAAAGGTCTGCAAACCAGACCCCGGGAATTAATGATTAGAAGACTGTACTTGGATAAATAAGGTATGACTCTAGTAGAGGATACCAAGACTGATATAGAAAGTGAAAAAGATAAGTTGGACCAAGTAAGTGGTGGAACTGCTCACTCAACAGTGAATACATTCCCAGTTAGGCTGCAAACTGTAGCAAAGAGAGAAAACGACGGCAGCATGACAGAGCAAGTGGTATTCACTTGGCAGGAACCAGCCACTACTTCACAAATGAGACAGATTTTAGCTGACCTTCTAGACTCCAGAAAAGACCCGACTCTTTTTGGCAAGAAGGTTGTATAAGCCAGCTGTGATGCAAGTGCAGTGGATATGAAGACAATTCTTAAATGACTGGGTGCTCCGATGACTGATCTGTTACTCAGTACAGACTTGATGGAGCAGGAAAAGAATATAATAAGGTGGGGGATGAACTTAAGTTTTGTGCAAAAATGACAGCCAGTTTGATCAAATCTTTGGAGCTATGCAAATTTTAAGATTATATTTCAAGGAAATAAGGAAACTGCTGCCTTTTATAAGAGACTGTGGCAGGCAGCGGATGATGCAGGCATGATGTTAGATTTTGCTGCTGATGCCCTCTCTCCATTAGCGATTCTTTTAAAGACTAGATTTTTGTCTGGACTATGACCAGACTTTACAAAGAGACTGTTGATCTCTAGACCAGAAGTGCCTAATATGAAGATTACTGAACTCCTTCCAATAGCAAGGGGTATTGAGGCCCAAATGCAGGAAGAAACGAAGAAGCCTAAACCTAAAGTGATGGAAGTTAGACCAGAAGGTGTCTCCACAGACTTGCACAAAGAAGAACCACAGACAGACTCTCCTATTGCCATGATCATTGGCCACTAGGAAATTGGCAAACCTGTATCACAGATACAAAAGGACAATAGGGATGTTATCTTAAAAAACTTTTTAGTCAACTTGCCCTTTCCTGGGTTCTTGCCATACAGTCCTGAAATCAAGTGAGTTTCCCCCAGGATTATTAACAGACATAATTGTTCCCTCTGCAAGATTGTCTGGAGATAGTGTCCCACTGAAAGAAAGCAAACCTGTCAGAATTAGGCTTGGTAAGAACACTGCTCTTTTTTTTTGCAAGTTTTAGTGTCCGATGATGTCCTTCTTAACTTGCTAGGAGCTGATTTATTGTCAGCCACTGAAGCCTGTATAGATTACACTCCTGTAGGTGTGTGAGTTACTTCAAAAGGTAGCAGAGGAGACCCTATTCACAGTGACTGGATTCTTACACACATTCCTCTCACAGGCCAGCCCCCTTCCCACTGAACATGCCGCTGGGAGATTGTATACCTGCTGATTTGTGGGTAGTTGACAGGTATGATGCCTGTAAGCTAGGTATACCACCAGTGACTTTTAAAATCAAACCAGGGTCCCATATATTTAAACTCCATCAGTATGCCCTGTCCCCACAGCAAATTGAGGGAATAAAAGCTCAACTTGACAGGCTGGTAGAGATTCAGTGAGACTATGCATATCACCATCAAATACTCTACTGTTTCCAGTCACTAAGAAAACTGCTCCAGGACAGCCGACAGTGTACAGTCTGGTGCATAACTTGAGGGCAATAAAATCATCCTGTCACATGCCCCCCGGTACAAAATCCACCTGCCCTGCTCTCAGGTATACTACATACAGCCACGTATTTCTCAGTGATTGATTTAGCTAATGATTTTTGGAGTGTACCAGTGGCTGAGGACTATCAATACCTATATGCCTTTATGTTTGGACAAAATCAGATGACCTGGGCTTGTCTTCCTCAGGGTTGTGTGTCAACCCCTAGAGAGTATTGTGCGCTAATTTCAGAAATCTTGAGACAATGGGTCCCCATATACAGCACAACTGTAATTTTGTCTTATGTAGATGTCATACTTCTTTGTGTAGATGACCCAGACTCTCCATGCAGGGTGGAGACAAAAAGTTTGCTTTACCACCTTGCAATACACAAGTGTAAAGTCAGCAGGGAAAAGATGCAGTTGTCACAGGAGAAGGTGATCTTTCTAGGTAATTGCATTTCACCAGGAGCAGAACACTTTACACCAGACAGAATCCCAGCATTGAGAAAGATTTTCAGGTCAACCACTTTAAGACAGATAAAGGCGTTCCTAGGCATGGTAGGCTATTGCAGGGGCTGGATCTCAAACACCTCTGAAATGCTAGTTCCACATTTTGACACTACAACAAAAGTTCCTTTTGAGCCCACTATGGGCCTCTATGATCACATGGAGGTAATTGTGGACTTACCTTCAGAATCTCCAGCCCTCGACCTTCTTAACTATGATTTGCCATTCTTTTTTTGTTTTGCAGTGAGCTTCAGGGCCATACTACAAGTGTGCTCATACAGAAATACTGTGATAAATACAGTACCATCTTTGCATGTACACCTCCACACCCAGTTCTGAAAGGTGTCAGAGCTGTAGTAGCCTGTTGTCAGGAATGGACTGGCCAGCAATGGTGGGACTCACCTGCCTTTTGATCTGCAGTACCAGGGCTGGCCAGCGGGTGCTCCCAGCAATCAGAGACTCAACCTTTCAGCCAGCTAACACCTGGAACTGATGATACTGGTGTATTTAAGGGATGGCCAGACTTGCAGACTCTGCCTTGGTGTTGTGTTTGTCCTGGGCCCTGTATCTGTCCTGCATCCTGTTTCTGTTCCTTTGCTACCTGTTCTGATCCCTGGCTTGTGACCCTGACCATCCCTCTGCCTGACCCTCTGTACTACGCTGCTTGCTACCTGTTCTGATCCCTGGCTTGTGACCCTGACCATCCCTCTCCTGACCCTCTGTACTACGCTGCTTGCTACCTGCTGAACCTGGCCTGTGACCCCGACCATTCTCCGCTTGCTCCCCCTGTACCTACCTGCCCAATTGATATTGACTCGGCCTGCCTGACGACGCTTGCTTGTATGTACTGTTATCTGTGGGTGGTTGGTTGGGTTTGTTTGCACTGTATTATGTTTAGTATTGCACTGCGTTTATGTTTGTATTGTTAGTGTTAATAAATTACATTGTTAATCACATATCTGAAGTCTGCGTTTCCCTGCTTCAGTCACACACCTCTGGTCATACCTGGGAGCCCTGACATTACACCAAGGCCAATCCTGACCAGAAGTGGCTGCACAGGGAAGCCATCTTGGCTTGTTGATGGGAAGGATGGATCTGGATGAGGTTGCGTATTTATATCTGCTAGTGTTTGATGACAGGGAGTATGCTTATCAAACTCTGAAGGAGTATACCCGGGATGAACTGCTAGAATGTATACGGCTCGCTCATGTTCTAGTAGATCAGGGCACAGAGTTCTCTGAGGTGCAGCCATTGATTGAGGTTTGTGCTGAGTTGGTTTCATCTGGTTCCCCCGAATGCAGGGATGAATTTTTGCCACCATTTAGTGCAGACCAGGTAGAGTCCCTGGTGTGGTTATTAGAGGATGATGTGGGTTACTTTCTGGAGCGTTATTCCACATGTTCACCACAGACACTAAGAGATTGTATAAACGCAGTGCAGTCTTTGGTCGGACAGGCTTTGTGTAAGCTCAGCTTTGTTCAACCCATACTGCAGACATGGTCAGACTTGTTGCACCCAGCCTCAGTCAGCTTACAAAGACCCAGTCCTGCTTCTAACTCTACTCCTGTATTCCCAACAGCTCCTCCAGTTACAGCCCAGTATACTTGGCTATCTACCGCATGTCAGTACCCTGTTCCCACTCGCTGCACCTATCCTGCCTTTAACCCTGTAAAAAAGCCCTCTGTAGCAACTGCTCCCTCTCCTGTTCCATCCTCCAGTTCTTCTCTGTCTCCAGCTGCTCCATTCGTTTGCAGACCTGCGTTTACTTGCAGTGCTCCAGTAGTTAAAACCAGAAAAAAGCGAAAATTCTTTCCAACCAATACCATCCTGCCAGTATCCAAACCGGTGAGCCTGCCTTCCGTGGTTCAGCCTGAAGCCTCTACTCAGCCTGAAGCCTCTACTCAGCCTGAAGCCTCTACTCAGCCTGATGCCTGTACTCAGCCTGAAGCCTCTACTCAGCCGGATGCCTCTCTTCAGCTTGATGCCTGTATGCAGCCTGATGCCGCTCTTCAGCCTGATGCCTCTACTCGGCCTGAAGCCTCTACTCGGCCTGATGCCTCTACTCGGCCTGAAGCCTCTACTCGGCCTGATGCCTCTACTCGGCCTGAAGCCTCTACTCGGCCTGAAGCCTCTACTCGGCCTGAAGCCTCTACTCGCCTGAAGCCTCTACTCGGCCTGAAGCCTCTACTCAGCCGGACGCCGGCATTCAGCCTGATGCCTCTACCCAGCATGATGAACTGATCCAGCCTGACGATCCTATTAGGCCAGTTGACTCGATGCCCGCTGTTGATCCAGATGATCCGGTACCTGATCCGGTGCCCGCTGTCGTGCCAATTGACTCAGAGCCCGCTGTCGTACCTGGTGACCCGGTGCCCACTGCCTTGCCAGATGACGCGGTGCCCGCTGGCAAGCCAAATGACCTGATGCCTGGTGACCCAGTGCCCGCTGTCATACCTGGTGACCCGATGCCTGCTGTCGAGCCAGACAATCTGGTACCTGATGACCCGGTGCCCACTGTCGTGCCTGTTGACTCAGAGCCCACTGCCTTGCCAGATGACGCGGTGCCGCTGTCGAGCCAAATGACCTGATGCCTGGTGACCCGATGCCCGCTGTCCAGCCAGACGATTCAATGTCTGCCCCAGTGCCCGCGGTCATGCCAGTTGACTCGGAACCCACTGCCTTGCCAGATGACGCGGTGCCCCGCGGTCGAGCCAAATGACCTGATGCCTGGTGACCCGATGCCCGCTGTCCGGTCAGACGATCCAATGTCTGACCCAGTGCCCGCGGTCATACCAGTTGACTCGGAGCCCACTGCCTTGCCAGATGACACGGTGCCCGCTGTCGAGCCAAATGACCTGATGCCTGGTGACCCGATGCCCGCTGTCCAGCCAGACGATCCAATGTCTGACCTAGTGCCAGCGGTCATGCCAGTTGACTCGGAGCCCACTGTCGTGCCTGGTGACTCGGTGCCCGCTGCTCCGCCTGGGGGCCCGAGACCTGTCGCTCCGCCTGGGGGTCCAGCGCCCCGCCGCTCCACCTGGGGGTCCGGCGCCCGCCGCCCCGCCTGGGGGCCCGAGACCTGTCGCTCCGCCTGAGGGCCCGAGACCTGTCGCTCCACCTGGGGGTCCGGCGCCCGCCGCTCCGCCTGAGGGCCCGAGACCTGTCGCTCCACCTGGGGGTCCGGCGCCCGCCGCTCCGCCTGGGGGGCCCGAGACCTGTCGCTCCGCCTGGGGGCCCGAGACCTGTCGCTCCACCTGGGGGTCCGGCGCCCGCTGCTCCGCCTGGGGGCCCGAGACCTGTCGCTCCGCCTGGGGGTCCAGCGCCCGCCGCTCCACCTGGGGGTCCGGCGCCCGCCGCCCCGCCTGGGGGCCCGAGACCTGTCGCTCCGCCTGAGGGCCCGAGACCTGTCGCTCCACCTGGGGGTCCGGCGCCCGCCGCTCCGCCTGAGGGCCCGAGACCTGTCGCTCCACCTGGGGGTCCGGCGCCCGCCGCTCCGCCTGGGGGCCCGAGACCTGTCGCTCCGCCTGGGGGCCCGAGACCTGTCGCTCCACCTGGGGGTCCGGCGCGCCCGCCGCTCCGCCTGAGGGCCCGAGACCTGTCGCTCCCACCCGGGGGTCCGGCGCCCACCGCTCCGCCTGAGGGGCCCGAGACCTGTAGTTCCGCCTGGGGGTCCGGCGCCCGCCGCTCCGCCTGGGGGCCCGATGCCTGTCGCCCCGCCTGGGGGCCCGATGCCTGTCGCCCCGCCTGGGGGCCCGATGCCTGTCGCTCCATCTGGGGGTCCGGCACCCGCCGCTCCGCCTGAGGGCCCGAGACCTGTAGTTCCGCCTGGGGGCCCGATGCCTGTCGCCCCGCCCGGGGGCCCGAGGCCTGTCGCCCCACCCGGGGGCCCGAGGCCTGTCGCCCCGCCTGGGGGCCCGAGGCCTGCCGCTCCACCCGGGGGCCCGGTGCCTGCCGCTCCGCTCGGGGGCCCGGTGCCTGCCGCTCCGCCCGGGGGCCCGGTGCCTGCCGCTCCGCCCGGGGGCCCGGTGCCTGCCGCTCCGCCCGGGGGCCCGGTGCCTGCCGCTCCCGCCGGTGGCCCGCGCCTGCCGCTTCGCCTGGTAGCCCGATGTGCCTCTGCCCTGCCCGCCCGGGCCCTGCCCGGAGTCCTGCCCGATGTGCCTCTGCCCGGAGTCCTGCCCGATGTGCCTCTGCCCGGAGTCCTGCCCGATGTGCCTCTGCCCGGAGTCCTGCCCGATGTGCCTCTGCCCGGAGTCCAGCCCGATGTGCCTCTGCCCGGAGTCCAGCCCGATGTGCCTCTGCCCGGAGTCCAGCCCGATGTGCCTCTGCCCGGAGTCCAGCCCGATGTGCCTCTGCCCGGAGTCCAGCCCGATGTGCCTCTGCCCGGAGTCCAGCCCGATGTGCCTCTGCCCGGAGTCCAGCCCGATGTGCCTCTGCCCGGAGTCCAGCCCGATGTGCCTCTGCCCGGAGTCCAGCCCGATGTGCCTCTGCCCGGTGTACCGCTGCCAGAAGTCCTGCCCGGTGTGCCAGTCTTTGATATCCCGCCAGTTACCAGACCCGGGCGGTGGAACATTTTTCCCAGCTAGGACTGTTTGGAGCGTCCTGAGGCCGCTCCTTGAGGGGGGGGTACTGTCAGGAATGGACTGGCCAGCAATGGTGGGACTCACCTGCCTTTTGATATGCAGTACCAGGGCTGGCCAGCGGGTGCTCCCAACAATCAGAGACTCAACCTTTCAGCCAGCTAACACCTGGAACTGATGATACTGGTGTATTTAAGGGATGGCCAGACTTGCAGACTCTGCCTTGGTGTTGTGTTTGTCCTGGGCCCTGTATCTGTCCTGCATCCTGTTTCTGTTCCTTTGCTACCTGTTCTGATCCCTGGCTTGTGACCCTGACCATCCCTCTGCCTGACCCTCTGTACTACGCTGCTTGCTACCTGTTCTGATCCCTGGCTTGTGACCCTGACCATCCCTCTGCCTGACCCTCTGTACTACGCTGCTTGCTACCTGCTGAACCTGGCCTGTGACCCCGACCATTCTCCGCTTGCTCCCCCTGTACCTACCTGCCCAATTGATATTGACTCGGCCTGCCTGACGACGCTTGCTGTATGTACTGTTATCTGTGGGTGGTTGGTTGGGTTTGTTTGCACTGTATTATGTTTAGTATTGCACTGCGTTTATGTTTGTATTGTTAGTGTTAATAAATTACATTGTTAATCACATATCTGAAGTCTGCGTTTCCCTGCTTCAGTCACACACCTCTGGTCATACCTGGGAGCCCTGACACCTGTATTCTGCTTCTAGATAAAGTTGCTCACATTGTAATGGACCATGCGCTTACCAATTTTGTCCCTCACTCTGTCCATAAGGTCTTAGAAAATGTCCAAACACACCACCTCTCTCTTACCAGACTCACAAAATATGAAGTGGCTTTGTTAACCCCTCCTAATCAGACAATCAAATGCTGTGCGATCGTTAACCCTGCAGTGTTTATACATACACATGTAGTGGCCAGTGGCCAGAGCCTGAGCAGGCACCAGAGATCCATCCTTGTGCAGAAGTCCATTTTGATAATTTTGCCTCAGATTGCCCCCATGCAAGGTTGTACTCTCATGACTGTTTAGCACTGATGGAAGCAGAATCACTATCCATCACACCAGCTAAAGAGGTCCCACTAGTGGGTGACGATGTTTACAATCTTTTCATGGATGGATCCATATATTATAAATCAGATGGTGTCCCATACACAGGCTGTGCAGTAACACATTACAAGACAGTTTTAGTGCAAGAAGCATTGCCATCACATATGTCTGCACAAGAAGCAGAACTGCATGCACTTGAAGCAGCATGCCTCTGGCTGAACGGTAAAAGGGGAAATGTTCACACTGACAGCAGATACACTTATGGTGTAGCACATGACTTTAGCCCTATATGGAATGCTAGGAATTTTCTGGGAAACCAGTCAGACATGCAAAAATGCTAGACAGATTGTATAAGGGTTTCCATGAGCCCTTGGAGTTGGCCATTTTAAAAGTCAAATCTCATACAACTGACAACAAGGAAGATGCAGGAAACTGAGCTGCGCATGAAACTACAAAGAAAGCAGCCTTGATGCCCATCAAGGCCATCAACCTGGCTACACCAGACATTGGTTCACTGGAAATGTGGGATGAGGACACTTTGGTCTGCCTGCAGAATCAGGCCCAGAACAAGTAGAAACAATCATATGAAAGAGAGGGATCCCAGCCTTCCAGAAGGACTTGTGGACCTGTGGGACTCAATGGTGCCTCCATAGATGTCTGTACCCCACTGCTGCAGTTCTCGCTCATGGACCAGGACATGTATTCAAGCATGCAATGGCCATCTCCATAGGAAAATTGTGGCTAGCCCCAGGGTTTGCAACATTTGCTGCCCATTTTTGCACTTCATGTCTGACTTATGCTCAACACAATACGGGGAAAACAGTGACTGTGCCTTTAAGACACTTCCCTAAGCCTAACTATCCATTTCAGAGGCTCCAGGTAGATTACATCTAGCTACCAAGGTGTGGCACCTATGAGTATGTGTTGATGTGTGTGGACATGTTCTCACGTTGTGTGCAGATATGATGTAACAGAGACCACTAAATCAGACAGAGGTACACGTTTCACAGGAGATGTCATGACTATAATTATGGGAAGTCTAGCAATAGAACAATCCCTTCACACCCCATACCATCCACAGAGTAGTGGGGAAGTTGAAAGGGTAAATGGGTTAATCAAAAACGGACTAGAAAAGATGGCAGAGGAAACAAAGATGACTTGGGTAGATTGCTTGCCTATATTGCTATACTGTACACTATCAGAATAACCCCAAATGCAAAGACTGGACATTCTTCCTATGAGATACTTTTGGGACAGTACCTAAGTTTGAATGTTACTTCTCCCAATAAATGCCTGTTCTGAAAAATGATCTTTATTTGTTTGTTCAAAGCCTTCACAGGAGACTGGAGGACATGCATAATCTAATCTATTCTTCCATATCAGACCTTTCCTCTTTTGCAGGAACTCACAGCTTACAGCCCGAAGCTCTGGTCTTAGTCCGGAAACCTGTGAGAAAGAGTTTGGAAGAATGCTTTGAAGGGCCCTATCAATTGCTTCTCCAGACAGACACTGCGGTCAAACTAGAAGGGAAGTCTACCTGGGTCCATGCTAGTCATTGCAAAATGATTATTGTGAATCCTATGGATGGTTCTTGGAAGAGATGAGGATGCTTTTTCTTGTTCTCTACTATGGTCTATCTGGTTGCATACACTATCAGTGTGTGTCCCTGAGTACGTATATTGCAGAATCCCTGTGTAAGGTCACTTGCGTAGCAATGTCAGGACTTTAAAAGGACCAATCTGACACAAGGGAACTTGATATGTCAATAAAGTCACTAACTGAAAAGATGCTTTTATTCCAGTTTAAATATAGATATGCTCAGAAATCTGATCATGAACATTGCTGGTTTTGTAGTAAATTACACCTTAGTACAATGATGATTCCCCCTTATGGAAGTACCAGTAATTATCACACCTTTCCTTAATGGCACCCCATCTTTCAGTTTGAAATATGTGCCAGACAGTGCTGTAAATCAATCAATTCCCTTTTCAGTAATGACTCAAGCCTATCTGCCAGACTGGTGTTTTAGACTGGGAAATGACTCAAATAAGAATGAGAAAGTGTGTCAGAAAGCAAAGTTTAACATATCTTATGATAAAGACTTATACTCTATGTTCATTGCTTCTAATAGTGTTTTAAATATCAGTCTGGGGGGCGTGTCCAAAATGGCAACCGGAGCAGCTACATAATTGAGAGCTCCGTCGCCTTATCATCTAATCCGCTGCCATCCTGGTGGCAGCAGGCTTAATATAAGAACCGGAGGTCCTATAACCGGGGCTGGGATCCTTCTGGGGCTTGCAACTGGGCTGACTGGGCCTCCGGCCTTCATGAGGAATACCACATGTAACCACGGCCTATACTGTATCTACCCCTCCCCCCCTTGGTATGATAACCTCTTCTACAATTTAAAGAATATATTGGGATGCCTGTGCTGTCCCGCAGTGATCGGGCTGTACTGATCCCCTGGGGCTATTCTCTCCCTTGGCTATACATTTTTCAGCTGATCATCCCCAGGAGACTCCCTGCATGCCGTCTACCAAGAAGAAAAGTAAGGGAACTGCTCAGAAATCCCTAACAACATACTTGCTGAGGACACAGGAAACTTGCAGTATGTCCCAAGATAATACCGACCGAGCATTCCCATCCCGCCTCACGCTGGATACCGCAGCTCATCCATCTGCACAGAACAGGGAGTATGCACAGCATCTTACAACTGGAGACTTGGAATCTTGTTTGGAGACTATGTACACTAAATTAGCCGCTGAATTCCAGTTGGAGCACCATAAGAGTACAAATGTTCTTTCTCAGGAAATAGCTGTGCTGGGTTCTAGAACAACTCGCTTAGAAACAAAACATGATGAGCTCAGCTTGGCTTATGGTGAGCTCTCCAGAGATCATGATCATCTGCAAACGGCCTTTACACAGTTGCAGGTTGAGGATCTCGATAATCGTAATTGCAGGAATAATCTGCGTGTTCGGGGAGTTCCGGAGATGGTGACCAACCTTTTACAGGCTA